CCACTATAAATGGTGATTTTCAATAGCTATGTTAAATATTGTTAAATTACCAAAGGGTGTGGATGAGTCTCAAGAAAAAATTGCTGTGTAGAAAAGTGATGAAAAATGTGTGTGTGTGTATTACTGACTCAGATCCCACAACTATTTTATCTATATATATATATATCTCATTATAGCTCATTACTAACGTATTTTCTGTGGTATTGCCACTTGCCATCCCCAAGTCATGACCATGTTCATGGGATTTCGGTCGATATTTCAACATTTGTTTCAACCCTCCCCAGTGATTTTGTAGGTTTGTAATGGAGTTGGTATATGTTTATGGCAGCGTTGCCCACATTAAACATCATCTGGTTCGTGGTTTGGAACGATCAGTCGTGACTACTGCTGGCCGCATCGGAAAGTGGAAAAAAATATGGTGGTGTGGAACATGGCTTTTGTTTTCCCATACATAGGGAATTTCATGTTCATATTTTTCAGAGGCGTAGGTCAACCACCAACCAGATCATTAATCATCATTTACCATCATGAACCAGATAATTCATCACCATTAACCACCATTAATCACCATTAACCAAGTAGGTCAACCACCAACCAGTCATTAAACCATGGCATTTCCATGGGATTTTCCATGGGTTTTCCATGGGTTTTCCTGAACTTTTCACCTTTCAGGGAGAGCGACCCTGTGGCCTCCACCCAGGCTTTGGTACGCTGGTACCAGACAGGCCTGGCCCCCAAGATGGGCGGCTTGATCTATGTAGAATGTATATATACGTATATATATATATATATATATTGTGTGTATATATACATATATATATGTAGATTGTAGATATGTATATTATATATATATATTGTACTAAACTATGTTCATATTAATGCATCGATGTATATGGATATATAGATGATATATAGTTAAATATATTATATATACATATATGGCTTTGGATCAGAACCTATACATACCATTTTTAGGGGGATGAACATCCATTTACCAGCTATTTTGATGTTCACCAGGGGTACAAGGTTTTGATACACTGCCATATATATATATATATATGATAGTGATAATATGTGAACCAGTGTGAAACAAGCGTTGAGACCCAAGCGCTGAGTTTCCAGGCTCAGTTTCCAGGCGCCCGTGCCAGAGGAGGATGATTCGGCAGGACGGGACCACGAGCCGAGGCTATAAGGATCTAGAAGGCTATAAGGATCTATAAGGATCCATTAATGGTGTTTTAATGGGATTCAATGGTGATTCAATAGCATTTAATGGGATTTAATGGGATTTAATGGGATATATGATGATATACCCTCTGGTAATGACTAACATAGCTATTGAAAATGACCATAGAAATAGTGGATTTTCCCATTGAAAATGGTGGATCCTTCCATAGTTATGTAAACGTTTACCAGAGGGTATCTGACTGAACTTGCAAGTATCTTGGCAGTACTGTACCCTCTGGTTATGACTAACATGGCGAACTGGAAAATCACACCATGCTATTAAGAACGGTAAACTGGAAAACCATCTATTTGTCTGGTTGGTGGTGTCGAACATTGTTTATTTTCCATTTCATATATGGGATGTCATCCTTCCCATTGACGAACTCATAACTCATATTTTTCAGATGGGTAGGTCAACCACCAACCAGTATTGTTATCCCATCATTATCCCATTATTATCCATATTGAACCATATAAAACCATTTTAAAGCCATATAGTTATGACTGTTATGATAATCCAGATAGTCTGATTGAACTTGGCGTCGAAACCAGAACTTGGACCTCTCCGTATCTTTCTCGTTTTTCTGTATCTTTCTCGAGGCTCAGGATCGGAGGGGAAGCCAGTGCTGTATGCAGACTCTTTAGAGGTCGGGGGGCTTAAATTTCTGCGGTGAGTTTTTTGACAAACTTTTTGCAGTTCAAAGATGGGCCAATATCCATCAATATCCAAATTTTGATGTGGGTCAAAGAATTCCATGATATTTTTACCACCAGATGACATGATTTATATTTATATTTACCCACAGCCCACATGAAATTTCCAATGAAGCCAGGAAGTTGTGATTCCTTCTGTGAATTCCTTGAAGTTCAACTGAATTCGGCTTTGCAAAGTGATGCGGGTCAGCAACACAGCATCCCCAATTCCCCTGGGAAAACCCACAGCCGGGTTCATCGTCCCGGCTGGGACCCCATAGAAATTGCTGGTGAAACTTCCCCCAATGACAGCTTGAGATTGCTTGCAGTCCTGCGTTTTCGGTTCGTTAAAGTCTACATTGCTGTAGGTGAAATTCCAATTTGAGCAATACACAGCAATTGCCACATGTTTATTGGTTTTCTCCAGAAATGTGCTAGCCCTGAATCATTGCACATTGACATGTCATCTTATCTAGAAGGGTAATTAAATGCCATGTTGATTTAAGTTTTCATATGTGCTTCCAACGGTCAACACATGTGTTGTTTTCCCACGAAGAAAATATATGCAAAACGGTCATCCCGCCATGCAAAACGGGCCAACAATAACATACCCAGTTGGGGATGGAAGTCTGGAAGTCTGGACCCTGTATGATGGTGGAATCAGCGTTTAAGACCATAGTAAGATATAGTACCCTCTGGTAAACTAACGTAACTATGGAAAATCACCATTTTTAATGGGAAAACTCACTATGAATGGCCATTTTTAATAGGTATGTTAGTTTACCAGAGGGGAAGCACTATTTTTCTGTGACCATGGCACAATTTTTGAGGCCCTGACATGGGATGTATCCGAAAATCCTGGGACCCGAAAAAAATTCGGAAGCACCATGGTTTCTGGGCCAATATGAATTGGGGGAAGGGATTATTGCCCTCATGATATCCATTAATCATTAACATTAGAAGTTTATTGATGATATCATCATTGCCCACTATATCTTGTAGTATTCCAATGCTATTGAATATCACGACCCATTCATATATCATGCAGTTATCCACTATATCCAATATATCAGCATTATATGCTAACTATAACATCAATATCATCAATGACCAATATCAACAAGCAGCGTCGATAGTAATCCTTGGGATATTCATATATTATATATAACTTTATACTAGTAACGAAATGATAGTAATACTACCATACTACTAATGATCAGTTATGGACATAGTAATATGACTAACAATATTACTAACTGCATGATAGTATGAGTATATAGTAATGAGATAATCAGTACATACCTGGAAAATTATAGCTATTAGTTTTGGAATGTCATATAACTGAACAACTATTAACTCAACTATACTAATAACACCACAATTTAATAGTATTACATACGATTGAATATTGACTGAATATGATTATATGATCCTGATATGGTAGTAAGTTTCCATACAATTGTTACATAACTATGAACTGGATTCAACATAGTGCGATTAAATAACTATAATAAGGATCTTATATAATATAAGTATCATGAACATACTACGAAGATACAGTAGATGATCAATACATATTATACTAGTCCAATATCATTAGCTGACTAAGAATCATATATACAGATACAAAATTATGATGTTTACTAAGATACAGTAGATGATTAATACATATAACCCTCCAGTAAATTAACATGACGACCCTGGCAGTCATCGGGGTTGGAAGATTTTTTTCCACTAGAAATTGGTGATTTTCAGGGTCGAACTGTTAATTGACCAGAGGGTAATACTAAAGAATTTGATTACTACTATGGCAATAGCAGGTCCAGGCGACAGCTTCTGCCATGCGGGCGCCTGAGACTGTGGGAATGGCGCCCCACCGCGGCTTCCTAGGCGGAGACAATGGGCCGGATGGGGGGAAGTTATTAGAACTGGAGCTGTTCTGTTTCAGGGATTTTGAGCTGGATCTTGATGGGATTTTGGGGTTGTTTGATGGGTTTGATGGATTTTTGGGGAAATGTTGATGGATTTTGATAGATTTTTGGAGGATTTTGATGTTTTTTTTGGGAAATTTGATCGGTTTTGATGGATTTTGAGCTCGATTTTGATCGATTGATTAATTGGGGGAACTGGATTTGTTCTAATTTTTTTGGGGGGGGAGGGAGTTGAATACTTCAGGGGTTTTCTTGAAGTTCAGCAGATCCATCTTGGTTTGGGAACTACGACCAGCACCTGGCATGACTGGGACCATTGAAGGAATCATAGCCATGGCCATTTTTCCCATCCCCAGCATCCAGATGCTCCACTTGTGCCAGGTCGCTTTGCCTCCATTCGAAGATCCTCGGCTCCCTATCGGGGGCACTGATGGCTCGGCCTGGCCCCGGAACCCAGTTTGGTCGGTTCCCTCTTTCTCAGGGTGTCTCATCAGCCATGGCCATGGCCAGGGATCAGATCTGAGTACAGTTTAAGGTACTCAAATTTCCACTGGAAAAGCCGGTGTTCACTGAGTTTCACAAGCCATGGAGTCACCATTGAATGGTGGCATCAAAAATGGCAGCATCAGCCAGGCGTTGTCGGCTGCCAGTGGGAATCCAACAACTGGGGACCAGCTGATTGTAGACTATTCACAGATCGTTTTCCCAACCAGGGATGTCCTTTTATTGCCATGTTTGATTACCCAGAGACCATGTCTTGTGTGTGGCCTGGAATGGGCTAAGCTTTTCATGTCCAAGATGTTTGGCATCTGAAATTGCTTCAATGTTTCCTTCGCTGCCGTTGACTCTCGGGCATGGCAGATTTGGGGTGCAGTCCCACACAAGGCCATTTGACACCATATTGAACCATTGGAGTCTCAAAGCAAATAGCTAGCTTCAAAAGCATGGAAGATCAGGAATATTAAGAAGGCATGCCTTGCTGTCTTCATATTCTGACTTGCAGAGGCTGCATAGTTGACCATTGGTTGCAATCAAATTCTTCACTGATTCAGATTTGGGGTGCAGTTGGAAGCCCTGATAAATGGATGTGTGGCTTCCACTGGCTAAAATAACAACTTCCAAAGTCCAATTGAAGTAAGCAACTGGAGAGCCGAACTCATTGATGTAGACAGACACTTCAGCGAAAAAGAAGGATGGCACACGAGGCTGGCTCCTGAAAAACCCAGCCAGTCACGTCACCTTTTCGTGAAAACGTTGGTTGACATCCTTTCAGGAAGAGCAGGCCTTGGAAATCGAGGCTGGTGCTTCTGGCGCTGGCATTTGGACTCTGATTTGGGTTTGTCTGAAAATAGGGTATATTCCCAATTATAGCCATTTAATAGGGATAATGATCATTAACCATTGGGTTTAGGGGTACACTATTTTCAGACACACCCATTTGTCTGAAAATGGGGAAATCAACCCGCGTTGGATGGCGATTTTGCTTTCTGTTTTCGGTTCCTTCAGGATTCAGGAGCTGTCAAGGAGGAGAAGTGATATCCCACCCCCCCATGTTAGCCCAATGTTAAATACCCCCAAGAAGGGTCCCCAATATGAAATATTATAATAGATCAAATCTATAATCTATCCTTATATATGCATATATACACATCGACTTCCAACATCAAGCATTGCAGTTTGACCTAGCCTTTGAAGATAAGGGAATATAATAGGTGGTTAAAACATTCCCAAATGGGTGGTTTATGATTTATTATTGTTTTACCAACATTATAATATATATAACATATTATATATATATATGAATATATAATGTTTGTATATATATATATATATATCCAGGCTTTCCTGGGCGGTCTAGATCTAGTTGATCCCCTTACAGGCGCTGCAATCAATCTTCGAGGAGGGGAAGGAGTTCACCAGTATCTCCGAGAAAGAGTGCGGCGGCCGAAGTGCGAATGTCTGCGAAGTGTCGAACTTTCTGTTGGGTTGTTAAGTTGTTCATGCTGGTAACAGAGGTTGTGGGGTTGCTCCATCCCCCAAAAATAGCTACTTTTGGGAGGAAAAAGAGGTAAGTAGAACCCCGTTGATTCACCCAGTTGCCCAAGCCTTACACCTGGGGTGTTGGGAGCTCTGAGGTTTTCCATCAAGCTACTACCCTTCCCTGGAGGGGAGGAGGACCGATGTGTTTCTGCTAGAGTCCTGGTCTGAAATTTTGGGTCCTGCAGGAGAACCATGTGGAGGTGACTCTTCATGTGACCTACACGGAGGCCTGGATGAATGAGGAATGTGTGAGATGTTGGATCAATGGGAAGGCTCCGAGCTGTTATAGCTGACGTTCAGATGTTATACTTCTTTGACGTTCCCTGGATCAGGCATACCCTGACGAAGCGCCAGAGTGGAAGCTTGAGGCGAAATGCTGGATGAATTTGCTCAATTTCTTCACCATTCTCTGGGTTCGTCTGAAAATAGGGCACCCCCAAATGGGAGTTTCTTAAACTGGGGGATCCCCAAGTCACCATAGGCTTCAAAAACTAAGTCATGGTCATCCATGACGACTGGATGATTTGGGGGTACCACCATGGCAAAACGGAAACCTGTTTCCAACCCCCAACTCCCAATGGTTTCAAGATGTTTCAAGCTGCATATTTTCCCAAGTTGCACAGCGTAAGGAGGTGAAAGGCTTGAGCGATGAAAAGCTCGAAGAGCTTCAGCAGAGAATAGAGGCCGTCTGAGTCAGCGAACCTTGGGGGCGGCGATGGTTGGGGGGAGACCTTGATGCCAAAGGTCCTGGGGAAAAGCTGGAAATCTTTTGGCCGGTAGGCCCTGAATGATCCAATCTTTATCTGGGAAACTCATGGAAACTCCATCCACTTGTTGAAGGTTGAGGATGTTGAGTTGTTTTGGTTTTGTCGTCAGCATTTTTGACTTGGAAAAATGCACTTGCACTTGTGGTCAAGTCCTTGATGTCGACCCGGATCCATTGGATATTTACCCTCTGTTAAATTGTTACATAGCTGGCTGCAAAATCAGCATTTTAAGTTCGCTAATCCCAATGTTAATTCATCCCCATGTTGGATGATCTTGATTCTTGATGGTTAACTCATGTTAAATCTATATGTTTGATGCTTAAATTCCCAATGTTTGATGGTTCAACCCCCCTGACCCCCCCATGTCTCAGGGTTGCCATTGATCTCGATGCAGGAAAGCATTGAAGCTTCGTTAGGTATGGCCATGATCTATCCCGTGACCGAGGCATGCCAGGAGCGCCCAAATCCTCCAACAAGTCCATCCTTTGGGGATCTTGGGAGTCCGGGAGTGGACTCTGGGGTCACGAAACCAACATGTTTTTTTTCGCCTTTTTTGGGCGAAGCCAACATGTTTCGCAGATCTGAGAATTTCAAAATCTGTTGGACTTTGAGATCGGCAAATTGCAGCTGTGTGAAGCCTGGATTGACGCCGTGCTGTTTGAAAAGGGAGACGCTTGGAGTTGCAGATGGTCGGTGATGTATTTTTCCGCATTGGGAACTCCAGTAGAAATGGGGCATATATATAAATATATTATATAACATAACATATTATATAACAAGATAAGTTCTGGAGTCCGAAGTACAGTAAACAACGTTGCTTTCGAAGACTGCGCACTGCGCAGCGCAGGACTTTTTGAAGGAAAACAATCAGAAAGAGCTCTCGATGCATGAGCAGATGATGCTTCGGCAAGCCGAGGCCCCCCGGGATTTTTTTCCGTAGCCTCTGAGCTTGGCGCTGTTTACCCCAGGGTGTTTCTGAACATGGGCATAGTCCCTGGTAAACATACAAAAAGCTATTAAAAAACGGCAAATTATAGTTGATTTACCCACTAAAGATGGTGATTTTCCATAGTTATGTTAATTTTCCAGATGGTATACTCCCTGGTGATTGAATGGGAACATGACTAATCAGTAGATTTAGGGATACCATAGTCTCAGACAAAAGCACTTATTGCTGCTATGACTACTACGCTGTAATTCAGATTGTCATGGTTTTATAAACATTTACCACTTACTGCACTATAAAGGCTTATATTTACAGTCATTCTGATTCTGATTAATTATATCATGATGATGACGAGCACGAGTGTTTGACAAGCCTATCAGATACGACCATCGCGATGATTGTGATGGACGAACAAGTCTAAACCCTATGGTACTGATTTATGTCCTTTGATGGTCGTAATAGTGATGAACATACCCATAGGATCCATGTATGCTATATATGGTAACATTTACCATCAATTACCCTCAAATGTTAGCATATATATACCATACATGGATCCTATGGGATATAGATAATCACGTATCACATCGTATCACTTACAACATTTAAGGGAGATCTTATTGCTTATTATGCAGAGGTGCCGTCTCCGGGGATATAGACCCATACCATTGAGAGGGTTTGGAAACCCTTCATCCAAACCTCTGAATTGTGATGATTATGATAAAGTAAGAACGTTTTTTGATGATGATGATGATTATTATTATTACGGTGATGATCATGATTATTATGATCATTATCATGATTATGATTATGATCTTATCACTCATGATGATAAAGTAAGAAAGTGTTTGTTTTCTCATTTCTCCCCGAAGAGTTCCGGGAATCAGTTTTTCAGGAAGAGGACGGCGACGAGGAGGACAAGGGTGGCGCGACGTAGTCACAATTGATCTATAGTTTGGGTACATGTTATAGGGGTTGGACGATCAGTTCCAAGACGAATTGGTGATTTTCAGGGTCAAATTAATTTACCAGAGGGCAATACGATTTTTCGGTGACGCTGCAAAAAATAGATGACTCAGAGCTACAAAAATTCCCCAATCTGATGAAATACTAGGAAGAACCGTGATAGCATAGTCTGGATCCATCTGGTATGGCTCAAAATGATGGAAGCCCAAAATGGCATGGACCAGCCAAGAAGGTGAGCTTCTTCCTGTGGTGATTTTTGGCCATCGGATTTTTTTCCACACTTTGTTCGCGGCAGGAGGAAGAAGATGAAGATGAAGAAGAGGAGGAACCTGAATGGAAAGGCCCAATGAGCATGATGTTTCTTGGAGAATACGACAAACTGACAAACTCCCAGAACGGGCTTCAAGATATAATGATGATACATAGACATGTTACTAGACTATACTGTAGTCCATGATGCCAAATTTCACAAAGCCCGCTTTTAAGCAGGAGGTTTGCGAATAAGGAATCTGTATAGGATGTAAGTTTTTTCAATGGCTGAATCCAAGTTTGAGAGATTCATATTATTTTGATCGATGCACAATATATTGGTATGGGTCAAAATTAGGTACCCCAATAATTGGATGGTTAATACTAAACTAGACTAACATCTGTGGTCCCCTAGGTCTTCTATTTTGACTCACATCCATATATATATATATTATAGATACATGTGGTTTTTAGAATTTGATGGGTCAGCTTGCAAGCCAAGGCTACATAGAAGACATTCGTTGCATAACATTCCATCCAATCCCTCCTATTACAGGCTATTCCTGCTTCAACATGGATGCAGCGCCAGTGTGGTTTGGAACCCCTTTGCATCAGTCGCGCCTGCCATGTCTGCAAGACCCAGGTACTGAAACAATCCAAGTGCTTTGCCTTGGGATACATTTCAACAAACAACCCAACAGAGTCTAAGAGTGAAGTGAATCAAGGGGAATGAGATGAACATTGAAAGTTTGGCCTGCCACGGCATGTGAAATCAACAGTCCAAAGTCCTTGGTCACAAGCAAATGATCCAAGATCGGGACGCACACTTTGTGGGAGCCTGCGAGCCTGCGAGCCTGCGCAGTCGAAATACACATGGACATGTCACGATAATGCGAGAATTTTTAGGTAAAATGCTGCAGACCAAGATCAAGCAAAACTCGCGGCACACACACACTTTGTGCGAACCTGCGGAGTCAAAATGCACATGGACATCGCACAAGAGCAATCATGCGAGAATCTACAGAATAATGCCAGGGAACAGATGGAGCATCCTGATCAAGCACCGGCCTTAACTCTTACCGGAAGAACCCCAACAGTGTGGACACATTGTTTGGGGAACCATTCATCCCTAAAAATATGCCAACATAAATGATTCCATTATGATTCAATATGATTCATCTAGTATTTCTATATGGGGGTTTCCATAAATGAGGGTACCCCAAGCTCGCTGGATGGTTTATTTCAGGGAAAATCCATCTATAAATGCATGATTTAGGGGTACCACCATTTATGGAAACACACAAAAGGGATTATATAAATGAAATCTATATATACTTGGTGGTTCATCCAAGGAATATGATTCAATATAATTAATATTTCCATTTCGTTGTGATTCCATTTTGATTCATATTATTTACTATATAAATATATATTTCATGATGATTCAATATATTATTGAAAGTATGGTGATTATCAATTTTGGGGTATTCTCATATCATATACCATGGTGGTTCACCCCATATGAACCAATACTTGGTGATTATTAAAACTATTCCCATATGATCAATACAGGATGGGGCCCCCCACTTATAAGTTGGTTTATAAACATTGTAATCCCCATTAACTAGTTCGTTATATCTACCATAAACTATACTTTAAAGGCAACTTAGCTATCTCATAAACTTATTATCACCATTATATTTATTCTTCAACATACTGATTATCATAGATCATTGGTGGTTTACCATTGATTTACCATTGATTTACTATTAATTTACCATTGATTTACCCTCTGGTAAACTAACATAACTATGGAAAAGCACCATGTTCAATGGGAAAATCAACTATAAATGGCCATTTTCAATAGCTTTTTGTTAAATTACCAGAGGGTACCATTAGATCCAGCTCCTTCCAGCTACGATTGACACGTGCCCGGACCAGGCCTTACGGAGAAGACCTTGTGCCCCGAGAGCGAACGAATCACCTCCCAGGGCTTCGCAGCGTGGAAGGCCTTGGACCCTGGGGGAGATGGGTTTTTGGTAGGGAAAGGTTGGGGGAAATCACCAACGAAAATCATGGGAATCACCATAGGAATCACCATGGAAAATCATGGGAACACACCAAAAATGGATGTTTGTTCTTTGGTTATTGAACGTTATTTCAGAGCTGGCATGATGGAACTGGATGGAGCATCACCATTGTTGAAAGGTAAATCATCGATGATTGGCAATGTTGCATAGCTATGTCAAATTATCAGAGGGTATATCAACGTATATCATCTTCTATCACTATTTTCCGGGCAAAAATATAGCAATTTGGAAATAGAACATCCTGTTCAGACCCTTAAATGAGTACCACTTGAGGTGGGCAAAAAGGGAGGTGATTTTACCTCTGGACTATGGGGATTCATTCAATAGGATTAATTACATATATTTAGTTTGCAATCAATTGCGTAGTTTTTGCTTCTCGTGACATAAGCCTGTTTATGGTTGGTCTTGTTCCTGTTTTTCTGAAGCAAAATTACACCTGGTTGGTGGTTGGAACAATTTTTATTTTTCCATATATCGGGAATAGTAACGCCAACTGACTTTCATATTTTTCAGAGGGGTAGGTCAACCAGGGGCTTCCGGCTCAAATTCTGGGTTGCCCCTAGCGGGAAATCTTCCGTTCCCCGCGGGTTTTTGCCATTGACTTCGGTGCAGCTTGGTGTGCACCATCGCTTTTCTGGCATTCAACCTTTTGTCACTGTCATTTACTTGACTGACATTTACCTTGGTTTTGGGTTAATCTTTTGCCTTCGATCCCTGCTACTGATTCCTGCGGCATTGAAATTTTTCTGTTGCTTTGATTTGGCAGTGTGGTATTGGGGCACAACTGGTATAATTGATTTTGGAAACTTACAATTTTGCTGGCCTCTGCAGTGAGCCGATCACTGAGTGGGATCACAATTTTGACGTGCATGCTCAGTGCAAAGATACTATTGGGCATTTTCGTTTTGGACCTTTGTGTGAGTTTTGATTTGGCGAGCCACGGCTACACCCACGCAGAAAAGAGCGCTTCGTCGAGCTCGAGCACAAGCTCGACAGAAATTGCACCTTTTCAAACGTGACTATCTGAACCTCTCGAAACAGCAAATCAGACATACAGTTGGCATTTTGGACAAACATCATTCCAAGGATACAGTTGCCCTTGCATTGATTCAAAGCAAGATGAACACTTCATCCCAGTCATGGAGGTGCGCTACATGTATGAAAATATGTGGCAAAACGCACCAATACTGTGGTGTTTGCGGCAAATCCTGGCATCTATGTGCAGATCCGACCTTTGGTACAGACACTACCTCCAGACAGGTACAATGGTCGTACACAGCGGGTTGGGAGGCAGATCAGGAATGGGACAACATGGATTGGAATTCACAGGATCAGAGTCAAGCCTCTTGGACGAAGTCACCAAGACGAAGGCAGACACCACGGAGAAGATCCAATCGCCGCACAGGTCCGAAGACCGATGCAGTCAATGGACAAGCTGGCAAGGGAAAGGGGAAGGATCACGGAGTGACGCCTCCATTGGGTCCCCCTGCCCTGCCAAGCTTGTCACCAGCCGAAACACCATGGCTTACGCCACTCATGGCTGTGCCACCACCGATTGGAAACCCGCCAGCCCAAAGTGCCGAAGACAAGCAGATGAAAACAATCATGACCATGCTCAAAAAGCACAACGACACGCTGCCACCAGAGCTACAAGCTCTTGTCAACGATGCAGTGATCAAAGATGGACAGATCGAAACAAAACAGCTTCACTCAGCTGTAGCAGCTCATGGTCGAGCCAGACGAGACTTGCAACAAGCACAACTGGCTCATTTCCATCTGCATTCAGCATGGCGTGGATTTCTCACGCAGGCCGTTTCTCAGTGGAAATCCTACAGCGAGCAATTTGCCGACCAGGAAAAGCAGCTCACAGATCGAGTGCAGAAAGCAGCAGAAGCCTTGGCCCAGGCAAAAGAAACACTTGCCAAGACCAAATCTCTGGCAGGTGTGGAAAATCGAGAAGAGGCCATGAGCGAAGACGACACAGAAAAAGCTGCCAAAGAGGTCAACATCACAGCCGCAGACAAGATCAAAGAGGGCATCACCAACCTCCACACCAGCTTGGATGCTCTCAGATCCACTGCCGATCAAATGGTGGAAGAAGAGCAAAAAGCTCTCAAGCGTCCTCGCCTAGAACCCAAAACTGGAGATTCATCAAATGGTTCCACTGGGGATGGTACAAGTTTTGGCTAGGCCGAGCTAATATTGATGTTCCATATATTGCTCCATGGCCGGTTGTACATCCAGGGGTACAAGACCCGATTGTTATGAAATGGAATCATTCAGTCATCCATGAACATGACTTCATGTCAGAATGGTCAGCTCGGGATAGTGCATTTTGCCTTGCATGGGAAGTTGGAAACCATCAATCATGTGACCAAATGACAAAGTTTTGGCGCCATGACTCTGCAACAATCCATGAGACTGTTCTACAAAAGCATGATGCTGCCCAAGGGGTCTGGTTCAATCCACTTGTTGAGGGATTGGTTGAACGTAGTGGCTCAATGTACCAGTTCAGTTTTGTTACCATCCCAGGTTGCCTGCCATTCCATGTCCCACCATGGAAACATCAAGTGTCCAGTCACTCCCGGTCCCAGCCACTGAGTACAACTGAGCCATTGTGCAAGCTTGCCAGTTGTCCTCACGCCTTGTCCTCTGCAACCAAGCTTGTAGGACATGACAGTTTTGGTTTTGTTGGTTCCTCCGACTCCTCATTGTCCCACGTCCATTCATGCACGCATCCGATTGTCAGCAGCAGTTCGTGGACTCCAAATGTTCAAACAGCACTGGAAGTTTTGCCTATGTATGGGTCATTGCAGACAGGCTGCCACGAAGTTGAAGCCTTTCCAAGCAATTCCACCGATGCAGATGGTTTCCAGGTTGCTGAGAGTCCTCCCTCCATTTTGCAAATAGGGTTGTCAGGCTCAACTCCACCTAGCAATTTTGATCGCCATAATGTGCACAGTTGGTCCCGTGCAGATGCCCCATTTGGTCTTGCAGAACGTAGCCATCATACTTCCGCAGCCATTTGCCCCAGCAATCATGACACTGATGCAATACCTTGGAACGTGCAACAGCATGGTGTCACCCGTCTCGTTGATGGCCCTGTCAGGTCTTGTAGGTCTGTTACAGATGCCTCCGAACCTACCCGAGGTCCATTGTTTTCCACAGTAAGGGCATTGCAATGGCCACCTCATGGCATGACTGTCCAAGTTCCAAATGGTCTTCATGCTTCAATGACATACCAGAAAGATCCTGCTTGGGAATTGGTCGAGCCCCATCAGTTGGCTGCAGTAGCCCCCAACCGACAGGACCCAAAGCAGCCCAATGTTGAGGTTTCTCACCAGCAAGATCCGACAATGCAGCAGTGGGAGCTTTCAAAGCTCACCCACTGCCCAACAGTCGTAGGTAGTTCTGTCCGGCGAGATTTTGAAAGCCCGCTCGCACAACTGCCTCATCAGGATTTAGAAGAGGAGGATGAACGTGCAGATCTCCCAGATCCAAATCCTGGTGGCCCTGCCGATGCGCTTTTTGTCAGAGAGCTCACACGTGGTTTTCAAGAACTAGGATTAGATGTGAATGACAATGAGTTCACTGTACCCCTCCGTTCTTGGTTCCTAGACCATGCTACCATCCGACAGTGGTTTGCACCAAGAGTCTTCCAACTACATGGCCCCCCACAGTCATGGGAGAGCCAAATTATTGCTGCATGGCGTGACCACCTAGATGACAATGAATGGTTTGATGTCACAGTCATCCGTCCCCAGCCACCCAGGCCTCCACGACATCAAGCAGTCGTCATGGATATTGTGGTTGCCCAATCCATTCATTTCCCAAGGTATGCAGGTTTAGTCACGGTACTTCCTGCCCGCAACATGCGTTTTACCATGTACTCAGTCGCCATCAGCTTCAATTCCCAGATCTCAGGACAGGAAATCCTGCAGCATGCTGATGCAAGGCCGCTCTGCCGACGTAGGGTATGCACCATTACCCACCAATGGCAAGAAATCCCAGTCAATGACAGACTCACCCATGTCATGGGTCATGGTGATTCCTTTCAAGTTGTAGTCTTTGAGAACACTGCAGGCAATGAAGGCAACAAAAGACGAAAATTCCTGGCCGATAGTGCGTCCCAGGCATCGTCCAGCACAGGTCCTCAGGATGCTCCAATGCCACCTGCTTCCGCATGGCAAACGGAACCCAGCAGTGCCAGTTCGTCCAATGCATATCCGCTGCCGTCGCCATCCGAATGTGATTGTGATTTTTCCCATGAAGAAGGGCTGCATGCACCCCAGACGGTTTTGCATGTGCATCAGCTTGATGGTCCCATCAATGTTGTGATACTTCATGGCTCCCAAGGCATACATCCATCACACACAGTTGCTCAGGCCATAGGGGTTCCAATCGATCAACTGGAGATGTTGCACCAAGTCCCAATGCGCCCCAGAGACATCCCCAGAGGCCAAGTTGCTGTGATTGCACACCGCTCTGGAGACATTGAATACAACCAGAACCTTCGCCTCATTCTCATTGACATCATCTATCACCATCATCCGACAGTGCACGGCCATTTGACTCAACCAACCCAAGTCAGAATGGTCCAAGCAGCTCCTGAATTTGTGCTTCGTGATAGTCTTCTTCTACTTGCCGCTGTTTTGCACTACTGTCAGTTTCAGACAAATGACTGCGTGCTGCAACTCGATGGTCATATGTGGTCAGAGACAGATCAAATGCCACGGCAGGTACATCATGGCTCATATGCCATTGTCGATGTGCCCCCGCCACAAGGCTATGATGTCAACACTCGCACAGCAGCTCAAGTTTTGCATCGAGACTCATCAGCGCATGTTGATGTCATTCAGGAACTCCTTGAAATGTCTCCAGAAGAAGACAACACCATGCTTGTTCAGCAGTCCGTTAAAATTGCACCAGCTGCCCTTCCTGAGAAGTCAACACCGCCATCATGCCATGATCAGGATATGGGAATGCCTCCACAGCATTCAGTCAGACGGGATCCATGCCCCAGTACCCTTCACATGCTAGAGCCCCATGCCCCTGCCCAGCATTTTGTGCCAGTCCGAGATGGACAACATGAGTGCAATGCCGCTGTGCAGAGTGAGGTACCGCTGTCTCCTAAGGCCGTGTCGAACCCGCTGCCAGTAGGCCAACTCAAAATCACTCAGTTTTTCTCCACAACTCCCAAGGATGACTCTCTCCTGCCGTGCCAGCTGCGTCCAGGAACACAGCTCACCTTAGACAGGTTCTTTCGGACTAAATGTCTCCAAAATATTGTGTCCGACCCAAAGAAAGCCTGCGATGTCCCAGCTCCACAAGCTCTGCCGATGCCTCGCCAATGCGTCCAGGAAGCCAAGTGCGCTGCAAGTCACCAGGTTGATGCGCCAGCTTATGCCGTCCCTGTTCCTGCAATGCATTTACCTGCCCTACCTCCACAATATGGACCTCATTTGTGGCGGTTGGATTTGCAAAGGAGATTTGAAGAGCTAGCCCATGTGGAGCAGATCAATGTAGGCCCTGTCCTCTTCGTGCAGGTTTGGTTTGTCCATCATGTTCGGTTTGTCGCTTGTCCTGCCCCCAAGCTGGTCCGCATTGAAGAAAATCCAGAACATTGGTATGCTGATCTTGTTGAGGCATGGAGAGACCAAATTCAATTTGATACCCCTGTCAGAGTTGAAATTGTGACACCTCCACCTCCGTATACCTTTCATGATCATGCACCTGTGCACATCATCTTAGAACAGCAAGGCAGTCCTGAGGTAGTTGCACTGCTCTTCACAGCTGCGTTTCATGGAGGTCATCGAATGGGGCTTTTCCAAGTTGCAGAAGCGATGCCAAGCCACATTTGCACTCGCATGCTCATTCAGCATCATCAATTTCAACGGTTTTGTGACTTCAGGCCATGCCACATGTTCTCAGGGCGATTGCGTTTTGAAATGGACATGCCTGAAGAAATATATACTGGCATTAGTGTGTTGCTGGACGTTGGCACTGCTGAGGAAGTCAGTCGCTCTTCGACTGATGCTGTCCCATCCATACCAAGTGGAGATGCCATCGGGCTCATGCAAACTGGCCGACCAACCTTGTCGAGCCATCCCCTCAGCACAGTGCAATGCCCCCAGCCAAGTCAGTCTTTCAGTCCAAGTCCGTCCACCAGCCATATGCCACTGCAACAGCCACCTACGATCAGCCTCACCGTCGTCAATTTGCAAGAGTTCCAAGAAACCCTCAGCTGGGTAGTTCAAAGCCACAGAGCTGCTACAATGGCAGCCCCTGATGCTGTCTTCACTGTAGCCACCTGGTTTTCTGATGCTGATCGCTTGCCTAGGTCCGACCACTATCGTAGCGTGCAGTTGACATCATTGCCTCACCAGTGGCTCAATGATATTGCAAAGCGTTGGCATGACTTCATTGATCCGCAGGTTCAATTGGAATTCCACCTCGTCCAACCAGCCCCTGTTGGAGGTGATCCTAGCATTATTGCTCATGTTGTTCTGCTTCAAAAAGTGTTGTATCACCAGCGGGTAGCCCTCATTGCTGTCACTGACTGGAATGATGATCCATGGCATCCAATGCATGTATGCACTCTTCTGTCCCAACTTACAACGTATGAGGAACTTGTGCAAGAAGCAATGGTCGAGGATTTTTGCCCCCCAGTGCGGCCCATGGCCCATTGTTTGGTCCAGCATGGTACCTTGGCAATCACTCCCGGCTTCCAATTCCCTGTGCGTCATGGGTACAGTTTCGAAGTAGCAGCCACAATTGATGATGAATGCAGTCCTGTTGCCCTAGCTGACTCAGTAGCATTCATTCAGCTGTCATTTAGAACCATTCAAACTGCCATTCACCAGCTTCAGGCCAAAGTCATGTCAGCCTCACCTGAACCACCTGAGGTTAGCCAGATGGAGCTTCCTTCAGACCTAGCCGAACCCCCAATTCTGCCCGAGGCCCTGCAGACAAATGGAGCTGACTGTGACCAAGTCATCCAGCATCTCCAACCTCGCTGGGCCACCTATGCCCGTCCTCTAGCAAGCAGTGAAGAACATGCTGCCACAGTGATGGTTTGGTACCTTGACCATGTGCGTCTCCCACAATGTTTTAGGGCCAGAGCTGTATCACTGTTCCAAGACACCCGTGAATGGAGCTCCCTCCTCCGACATGCATGGAGAGATGCCATT